TTTTGACTGACAGGAATGTCAAGATACCGTCAGCAAAAAAGTCGTTCACATTAACCGTCTTTTTGGTATCAACCCAAAGAAAGTGACTTTGTTGGACGAGAAAACAAAGGTAAATAATAGATGACAGTTACTGTTGATAGACAGACAGTGTTTATTAAGAAATCCAATCAGGATTGCTGGATTTGATTATTGATTTCACCACAGTAGCTTTCAGTCCTACATTGTCCACTATATTGATTACCGTTGCAGCATTACTAACTGTGCAAAAATGTATTTGTTAGAAATAAGAATTAAATTCACGGCTTTTTTGCAGGATTTAGTCGGCAGTTGGCAGTTCAAAGATGTCAAGCGATGGAGCATTTCTTGCGACAAYTCTCGTTTAGTGGTCGAGTTTACAAAAGAAACATACGAGTTTCTCCTTGACAACAAAAGGTAACAATGATTTACTGAGCCTGATATGTCTGCCTTAAAGTTAATTAACTCGGCCCGATTTTTTGACACATGCGAAAGTTGYATCGTATAAAGTGGTCATTATAAAGTAATATTTTTATCTTGTAGTAGATGATAATAATAGTAATAATTGTATTTCTGTTCCAGTTTGGTGTATAAAGCGATCAACGAACTACTCTTTAGCTGTTCAAAAGCCAACTTTGCGGTAAGAAAATAGATCGATTGCTAACACTCAGCGATGTCAGACTTCTGTCGCATTGTGTTTTAAACAAAATGTRTTTAATTTGTTYTACTAAAGGCGCTTGGAGAAAGTGACTTCACACCATGGAGCAAATACGCTGAGGACACAGAAAAATGGGGACATATTGCATTGGCTGCAGAATTACAGCACCAAATACCTGATAATAGTACAGACCCTTTGTATGATGGCCCAATAAGCCGAACAAGRGCCGTGTCGTGTATTTCCTCGGCWAGAGGTCGAGGAGGACGGTTCACTAGGCAYTCCTCCGTAGTGGAGAAGTTGTCTACKTCAGCACCCTTTCCTCGACTTCCTACAAGTCCTAGCGGCCCTGGTCAAACGCCGACTGAAGGACCCTCATTTTTCCCTAGCACGTCAGTGGCACCAGTA